CCCCCCATGATGGTGCGCTTCCAAGGATGACAGATACAACTGTCCGGAGGAGCTGGTTCATTCACTTTGATTGCAGTTTTACTCTTTCTTACTCAACCCCCCTTCCCGGGGGTCTGGGGCCGACACAGGGATGGAATCTGCCACTGTAGGAGCTGCAGCTTTTAGGAGCCCTCACCTCACGCCTCTTCTGAGTAGACGAACAAGGTAGTGAGGACTAAACTTAAGACGTGCACCTTGGGTTCTATCTTGTCATTGGATCCTGACGCCAGAGGCTCGGCTCCTTGTGCGCCCCTATCAGCACTTTCGTTTCCTCTGCCCTTTTTCAGAATAATAGAATTTTGAAAGTACCCCACACGTGACACAATTGTAATCTTTCAGGTTTTGATTCCACAAAAAGACAGTGCAATTCTTCTGTCTGCCGGTAGACTTTATTTAACCTGGCATCGTGAGGGTTTCTCTTTCTTTTTTGCTTAACAGATTATCATTGCTTCATGTTTAGTAATACGTAGATGCAATCTTTTTATTTTGTTTAAATCTAGAAAAGAATAAACCAGGTTAAGGCTTTTAAGATAATAAAGTACCCAAAGAATTACTAAAAATGGAATTTCTTTTTTTTTACCATAGGAACTTGTGGGGTTAGTAAATTGGGCAAGAAAAATATTGTTTTGTAAGACTTGTTTTTAAATTTTCTCTTCATTTGAGCCCATAGCACGTAAACGGTTTCAGAAACATTTCCTTTTGAAAGGAAGTATTGCAATATGAACTACATAAATAAAGTGGTTCGTACAAGGTCAAATTAGTGTCCTCTGGAATAAAAACTTGCTGATTGCTTTTCTAGTTTATAGCTTTAAGATTCTTTAGCAGTTTGATTGGAGAGAGTTCTACTTGTTACAAAGCCCTGCTCGAGAACATACCACACATACGCATGAAACCAAAGGCTGAGGTAGTAGTTTTATGACAGAAATGTTAGAATTACTAGGATGCCAGTTCTTTCTATTTGGTAAGGATGGAATAGAATCAATCTGAGTTGAATATAGGTGAGGAATTAAACAAAATGTAACCATTTTCAGTTACTTAAGGTTGCATTAAAGAGCTAGAGACAGTGGGATGAAAATAGTCTCTTGTGAAAATTGCCTTGGAAACTAGACCAAAAATAGAATTAATTAGGTTGGTGTTTGTTTTGTTCTAGAACTGGTGTAGTTTAGAATCAAAGAAAATAGCAATCTCCCCTGTGTTGTGATATCCTTAACCAGAGGAAGCTTAACAAGGTTTTTATTAAGAAAAATCATGTTCAGGAAGCCATGCTTTTTGAATGAAACTTTTTAAAATACTCTAATGTTTTTTAAATGGAAGCTACTTCTGTGGCTTGATTTGACTCAGGGCTGTTGTGTTTAGCTATCTGACTGGGTTACCTCACCACATATTTATTAGCTAATTTATAAACGCCCTACTGTTAGTTTTCATTAATCCAGCTGGATTTTGTTTTCACCATATGTAGCCTGTTTTGTTAAGATTTCCTAGATAAATGATGAGCATATTCAAACTGTTCTTTTTAGAGTTTGTCACAAGGAACTCCTGACTTGGCTGACTTCTAGACTTGAACTCTAGCCTTTTATCTGTCCTTTCTTATCAGGGTGTGCACTTGACCACACCTGCATTTCTAGATCAAGGGCTGTTTAAAAATCCATTTGCACAATGGAAACTGGTTAATATTGGCCCATTTAAAGGTCTAAAATGCCTTTTCTGTTTTAAGTTGTAGTAAAGGCAAGACTCTTCAGGAATTCATGAAGGCTGTAGGTAGAGGAGTGCATTGTATCTGTTATTTTAATGCACTTGAAAGCATTACCATTTTGTTATCTTTATAAAGACATTATTGTGGTTATGTGCCCTCCAGTCGCCTGCAACACAGTGTCCCTATGTACAGTAACCCTAAACCTTTATCCTGTACCAATCTTATTGTCTCTGACACACCTACCTCTATTACTCCAGTCACTCAATCAATGCATTTCATCAAGGATCTTCCTCTCTTGCACTGTCCCTCCATCCTCCCAAGCATGACTTCTCCCTGAAAAGACTGGTCTGCCTTGCAACATGCCCAAAGTAGGTCAAATGAAACTTCAGAATCCTTTTCTCCGAGGAGCAGCCTGGTTCACTCTCTAGGATGAACGTATTTGTTCTTAGCAGTACATGGTATATTCAGTACTCTTCTCCAACACCACAGCTCAAAGGCATCAGTTCTCATTCCTCATCATTGCCCAGCTCTCTGATGCATAGCAAGTAATCGCAAAGACCATGGCCTGAATCAGGCACACCTTAGTCTCCAGACTGACATCATTGCTCTTCAGTACTTTGGAGAGGTCTCTTACAGCAGACTTTCCCAATTCAATTCATCTTAATTTCCTGGCTGCTGGTACCAACATTATGAACATGAAATTTAATACTGATTGACTTATGCTGAGAAGAATGCTCCCTCTCCATAAAGTGAATAAAAAGAGAATAAAGTGTTTCTAACCTATAAGACTGGGAAGCAGGAGTGGCATCCACTTCCAAAATAGCTTGCCTCTGGAAATTCTATGAACTTAGAGAAATGATTAAAAGTTATACAAGTGTCCAGGTCTTTCATTCATAGGATCACTATTAGTCCTCTATGACTCAATGGCACTTAAGAACAACCACCACCACCACCTATGACAGTGTTCTTCATTGTTAAATGTTGGAGTGGTATTTGAAGATTCCAAGAACCTCCCCCTCAAGGAAGACTTCTAACCACTGCCCAAAACATTTACTAGAAGTCTTTGCAGGGGTCATTCTTAGCACAGATGTCATTCTTGAAGTTTGGATGGAGACAACAAAAAAACTTAAAAAAGATCAAGTGAGGGTCAAAAGAGCCTTGGATGAGAAGGTACATGAACAGTCATCAGGAAAGACAAGCCTTGCAGACAGAAGACTAGACACAGGGCGTGGAGAAAAATTTGGCCTTGCTGGAGCACTGGAGCATAAACAAGACTTGTTTTGGTGATAGAAAAGGAGCTTGAGCATCTCTTGGAGGAAGTTTTTGTTAAGTGTCATTGGGTCAGCTACCACTCACAGCAACCTTATGAACAACAAATCTGAACTTGACTCTATCCTGCACCATCACAATTTCTGGATACCATTGTTATAGTCACTGTGTTAATCCATCTTATTAGAGATCTTCTCTTTCTTGGACTGTTTTCTCACAATGATGCCCATTTCAAGTTGTATGGAAAAAGTATTGGAAACGGCATAGATCTTTCCCAAAGAAACAAGATAGGGTATTCTTACAAGTGATATAAGTATAAAAGAATGAGAATTTGTAGTAACTCTAAAGGTTGTGGGAAAGGGAATGAAAAGAAGTTATAGATTTCAGACAATGATTGATGATGGGAATAAACTATGGTGGCTTAAAGTAATACCAAAAAAAGAAGAGACTTCTGGGAGACACATTGGAATCGGTAACTTAAAAGATTTTTATCAAAGAAGCAAAGTGGATGATTTTCCAGATATAGAGAGAGCTAGATGGTTTGTGTTGGGCAGTTTTTATCAAGTAGGCTGAGAAAGGGAGCCTATGTGAGAGGTAGTTCCAGGTGGTGATGCCAGCTGAAGTTAAAGGTCAGGACTTGGAGATGTGACATTTTGATTAGGGTAGAAAGACTGAAGACAGGCTGGGCCTTGTTTAGAGCAGAATTGGAGATAAGAAAGAACTAAAATCAAAGGGATCTGAGGAGACAAGCAGGAGTTTCAGTAGAACTTGGACCTGAGGGCTGAGGCATAAAACATTGAGCTTAGGGAAGAAGAAAAAAAAAAAGATCTTGGTAAAAAGTTTTATGTTGAAGAATGTGAAAGGAAAAAGTCATAGTATTGACAAGAAGTGCAGTGAGAAAATACAGAATATTAGCTAGAGAGGAATAGATAGATGTAATTAAGTGAAGATTTTCTTTTTCATGATTAAGGAGATAGGCATTTGCTTGAAGGATATTGGAATGAGCCTGAAGATAATAAGGAGCTGACGCTTGGTGGGAGGGAGTAAAGGCAAACATGGGATCAAGAGTCTAGATGATTGACTTGCCCAGCAAAGGACTGAGGGATAAGAATAGAGAAGTATGGAATCATTCCATAATAAAAGGAAGGAAGATAGAAGTGCTTAACTGAGGCCTTCTCCTTAGTACAGTAGAGAATTCTAGAGCTCCTGGGAATCCTAGAAACAGTTCAACCCCACTCATAGATTTTTAAATGTGCTCTGTTGTTATTGTTGTTAGCTGCCATCGAGTTGAGTATGACCCTGTGAACAACAGATCAGAACCCTGGCCTATCATGTGCAATCCTCACAACCTGACACTCAAGCCCATTGCTGCAGTTGCTGAGTCAGCCTATCTTCTTGAAAGTCTTCCTCTCTCCAACTTCCGCTTTCCCAATCATAATGTTCCTCTCCAATGAATAGTTTCTCCTAACAACATGCCGAAAGTATGTGAGATGAAGG